CCGCCGCAGCGGGCTCGCGCGCGCCGCCGCCGCCGCCGCCGCCGCCGCCGCCTCCTCGGCGCCGCGCAGCGGGCTCGTGCGGCGGCGCCGCTCGCCGGCGCCGGGCGGCTGGTGGCCCTGCCCTCCCACCCAGGAGCCCTCAGGGCTGTGGGAGCGCCGCCGTGCGGCCTCCGCCTGCTGCTGCCACCCCTCGGCCACGCCGCGCCCCTCGCCGCCACCCGCCGCGCCGCCGCCGGCGCTCGGCCCCTCCTCATCCCCCTCGTCCGCAAAAATGCTGACCGGGCGACCCAGCGTCGCCCCCGGCGTCGGGGGCCGCCCGCCGCCCGCGGCCTTGGCGCCGCCGGGCCCCCAGCTGCCCTGCTGCAGGTCCGCAGCGATGTCTGGGTTGTGCCCCGCCAGCGCTAGCGCCGCGGAAGCGGCGCCCGCCGGCTGCGAAACCGCGGCGGCACGCCCGCCGCACGGCTGCTGCTCTTCCGGCCGCGAGCGCGGCGGCGCAGGCGCATGCTGTGCACCGGGGGCGCCAAAGCCCGGGCCGTCGCGCGGCGTCGGCGGGCGCCGTGAGAGCTGGCCACCCTCCCAAGAGGTCTGTCTCAAAAAAGCAGCCACGCTGCGCTGCGCCTGCGCCTGCGCCTGCGCCGGCAACGGCGCCTCGGCCCCGCCGCCGCAGACCCGCCCGCCTGCGGCGGCCTTCCCCGCCGGCGGCCCGCCAGGCGCCTGCTGCTGCTGCTGAGCGTTGCCGTGCGGCGCCTCCGCGCACGGCGGTTGCCGCTCGTCCTCAAAAGTGACACGCCGCCTCGGGGCGCCCTGCGGCTGCTGCTGCTGCTGCTGCTGCTGCTGCTGCTGCTGCTGCTGCTGCTGCTGCTGCAGGGCCTGCGCGCCGCACTTCCCGTCCTCAAACGTCACCCGCCGCGCCCGCGGCAGCTCGGGCGCGCGCTCGGCGCCGGCTGCCCCCTCGTCCTCAAACGTCACCCGCCGGCGCACCCCTCCGCCGCTGCTGCGGCGGCGCGCGCCCCCGTCCGGGGC